CGCAAACTCAAAGAGGTAGTGAGATACTTTGATGATTGAAATCTGTGTTTTAACAGCAAATCGACGAAAGAGTCTATCATACTCTGCCACTACTTCAATGTTCATATTTGTGCATTTTACCATAAGCATTGTATGCGAGTAGTTTACATGTGTTTGTTTGCATTTATGTTTATCTTTCTGTCTTACCCTGTTTTTATCTTCAAACACACTTAAGCAGTTTCTCTTTATCCTCTGCCTTCCTGCTGTCCAGGCCCTGCAGGAGCGTGATGATCAGATCCGTAGGCTGCGAGAGGAGGCAGCCCAGGCCCAGAAGAGGTTCCAGGAGCAGCTGGAGGAGGAAACAGCTCGGCAGGCTGAGCTGAGGGAGCGTCTGGAGCATCTAAACACGCGCAAGGAGGAGCTGAAGCAGCAGCTGGAGGACAAGGAGGCAGAGCTTGAGGACATCAAAAGAGTTTACAGGCAAGCATCCCATCACAAACACACAAATATACAAGATATGCAGGATGTACTCACATAGACATATCAGTATTTTGGAAGTATTACTTTATAGAGATTTCCCACAGTCATAGAAAAGCTGGGAAAGTTATGGAATCTTATAAGCTTATTTTCCAGGCCTGGAAAGCCATGAAATTAGTAAGAGTCAGTGAGTGTTTAGGAGAAGTTATGCAATTTCGTTTTGTATATTTAAATCTGATATGTTTGAATAATGCCGGGCAAGTGGGGCAAGAAAAATGTTTTGACAATGTGATAAAACATGTTTCCGTATCTATGCCTCACCACTACTTTAAGATTATACTGCATTTTTTAAATGGAGCAACTGACATGGGCTTTCTAGGGCTTTCAATTGTCAGAGTACCAATGCACACTTTGGTTTCGCTTCCGCTGGTCTGCTCTGAAAGTTGAGCATGGCAGTTTGAAGGTATGGAGCATTCTTTCTTTTAAACAAACCAGCCAATGGGCCAACCGAACTGTCAGCTGTCACTCCCCCACTCTGGGAGCACTACTGCTCGGTGTCAGCAGACCATGTCCGGAGTGTGCTTTGAACGCCTTAAATCACAGAACGGTTCAACCATACCAGAATGTGCATAGCGCTCAGAATGGCAATGTAGGTCTGAACCCGCTTTATCCTAACTGTGACCCACATGCTAAGTGAGTTTGTTCATTTGTAAGAAGATAGTTCATAAGAAATGTATTCCAACAGTATTAGTTAGATGTAGTTAGCATTGTGATGGACAGCAAAATGCAAGGCTAAAGGAAGGCTATTGATAATTGTATTGGAATGCTCTTGGAAGGCTTACTGGGTATAATAATAAAAAGTTTATTGATGGGTTGTACTGAAAGGCCTTAAAACATATGCCTACATACTTATGTTGCCCCATCCAGAAAATTTAAATTTAATTTAATTTTCATACAATTATTAACATTTGGCATAAAGTTTACTATACAGCTCTGTTCGTGTTATACATTGGTCATGGACATTTTTTTAAGGGTCCTTGAAAAGTCATGGAGATGTTTTTAAATTTTGTTCATGAGAACGTGTGGGAAGAAGAAGATATACTTTTTTAATCCTCAAGTTTTTCACTCTGTGTACACACAGGCCCGAAATATACACACATGCACAAACAGGACCTGAACATACATTAAATGGAGACATGTCAGAGTGAGGGGGCTGCCCATGGACAGGCGCACCGAGCAGTTGAGGGTTCGGTGCCTTGCTCAAGGTCAGCTCGGAGGTGGAGGCGAGCTGGCCCCTCTCCAGCTACCAGACCACGCTCCATACTTGGTCCATTCCATGACCTTAGACAACTCCTCCTAACGTCGACCTGATCAAATCAGTTTCTGCACCACTGTTGTGTTTTTCTTGATTTCTCCATATCTATTTTTCTACCAGGGATTCCAGTAAGAAGTGGCAGGCAAAGGCAGACCTGCTGACTCGGCTGGAGGGCCAGGTGAAGCACATGAAGGACAACTTTGATTCCAAGGAGCGCTTGCTGCTGGAGGAGAGAGATAAAGCAGCAGAAGCACAAAAGTATGATACAACACCACATGAGAGTGAAAGTGTCTCTTTGAAATTCCCTTTCTGCTGTATTATTAAAGTCTGGGCCTGTGTGTATAAATCAAGTCACAGTTCTTATGTCTCATATGATGGGTGTTTTAGGTGTATTTGCTCTCTTTAAATTAACTTGTGTTTACAGAGTGGGCACAGTTTTGTAGATAGAGTGATTATCCTGCTTACAATCAATAATATGAAGTTTTTGATGCAGTCAGACCTGAGAAGAAAGTTGTTCCTCTGTATTTCCATACCTGTCAGAACATAAACATGCACATGTTTGCCCAGTCATTGTCCACCTGCTGGATACAGGTAGACAGTTCTGCAACTTTCTTTATTCCTGTAGGAGATGGAAGTCTTTTCCTACATCAAGAGAGCTGATAAAATGCTTTTCCTCCAAAGCCTAAAAGGAAAATCACAAAAGGAAGATTCAGTGTGTCTCACTCTGAATTGTTTAGGGCAATTTGGACTGTTTGTTAAATGTGTGCCTCCTCCATCTCTCTCCAAAGCCCAAACGCTAGAGAACTCTGAAGACTCATAATTGTAATGATATATTACATATGAAGTCTGTGGGTCAAATCATGGTCAGGGTGTGTTAGTGCCATTGAGAGAGAAGCAAGTGAGCGACGTCATAGTTTATGTTTATGTCAGTGCTTCATTTCTGGGACCATCCACCTGAAAAGAAAACTTATGTATCCAAGGCAGTTAGGACAACATCCTCCTCCAACCTTATGCAACATTATGTTTCATTTGCTGTTGTCTGTCTTGCAGAGCTGCAGTAGAGAAGTTGCACAGTGTGGATGATGCATTTCGTCGACAGCTAGAGTCTTGTCAGGCCGCCCATCAAGCTGAGCTGCTTCGACTGGCGAATGAGAAGCAGAAACAGATTGAACGAGCCAATCAGAAGGTAAAATATAGACACTAAAAGTAAGACACTAGTTTCCCCCCAAGTTGGAAGGTAAGAACAGGTGCTTAGTGCCAATGTGGTCATGACAAATGTGAACAAAATTCTAGCCTTTAATGTGGATAAGAATTAGTCAGTGTGTGATAAATATAGTAGTTTTCTAATTAGTCTTCATGTTAGATATGTACAGAAATATGATTTTCTAGTATTTTACCTGCTTTACCATGCTCAAAGGGCGTTTTGAAAGTGGTTACCAATGATTGCACTTGGAGTTAGAGTTTTAAATCCTTATTCACACTGGCAAAATCTTGTCACTAGAAATATTACATTTGGGACACAGCTGATCATTGTCTTCCAGCTGCCCCTTGTGAGCTTGAGGAAAAAAGAAGACATTTTGAAAGTGATGAATGTAAGGACGTAGGGCAAACCCTGTGATGCAGATATGCAGTTTGACAATATCACGAGTAGCATTTCACCCAGCACGGCCTTGAAAGTCTCTAAAAATTATGAACCTCATTGAATAATTTAAAAAACGTATGTTTTCTGTATCTGAGGCTGTTTGTCTGTCTGTGTGTTCTCAGGTATTTGAAGTGGAGGAGGAGATGCGTCAGCTCCTGGAGGAGACGGAAACTAACAAGAGAATCATGGAGGAGAAAATGAAACGTCTCACGAGTGTACTAAAAGACTTTTAACACATGAAATATGACTTCTTTGAATTTAAACACTAGAGGGTAATTTTGATTTTGTTTTTTTAAAGAATCAATTTAGTAGAGTTTTGTTTTTCAATTTTTCATGTTAAGTTATTGTTGTATTTTAGTTTATTATGATGTATCTAATAAATTCTCTCTGGAGCATATTTTTGTCTTTTCTTTATATCATACATAACTAATTTGAACAAAATCGAGAGTAGAACTCGTTTAATTTCATTTTTTATTTGTTCCGCTTGTCCTTACGCAGCAACGTCACATAAAAAAAAATTTAAAAAATCTATTATATAATCCATGACCAAAAAGGTCTTTCAAAACACAAATAATCATAAGAAATAGATGGTCTGTCAGTTACAGTTATTCCCCAATACTTAACAGTAACTAAGGAAAATAAACGGAAGAATCAGAAGCCATGCACAATGTCCCCTTCAACAAGGGGACAGCTTCATATAGTCCAATTTTTCTTTCTTTATAGACTTTCTTCAACTCAAAACATTTACACAATTCCACAGTTTAACACCCACCACCAAAATACACATCTTTTTTAATGTAGTCCGTGCAAACTGGTGCTTGAGGTGAAATTTTCTTCTGCCGGTTATCCTCTGAAATAAAAACAGACAATTTTTGCAAGTGTTCTGGTAACACTCAGAATTTTGTTTAATACATAATTAACAGTGTCCATAAATCAACTTTAAGTTTCAATAGTCCTGACGCGATAAACAGTCTGCTGGTGTTTTCTCTTGGATCTACTTTACTAAAGGTTTTATGGGAAATGATAATAGAAATGTATTTATAGAGCATATTTCATCTATGAATTTGCCATACAAAGTGCATCACAAATGAAACATGAAAGTAAATAAATAAAAGACAGAATCCAAAAAAAAGGATTTTTTTTTTTTTTTTTAGAAAAAGACAAAAACTGATTAAATAAGTAGATTTTTAGATAACTGTATGATGTATTTATTGTTGTCATATACGAAGAAATTAATTGTGAGCACAGAGAATGGACAAATTTAGCTCTGTTTCTTTTGTCTGCCATTTTTTCTTTTAATTTAACATTTAATTAATAAACAACATGAACACAATACATTCGTAAGAAAGAGAAAATTTAATATCAGTTTACTGGGAAATAAAAGAACAGACATCTTGCCAAAAAAAATGCAAGAGTCGGCACAACATATGAGTATTGATTGATCAGTACCTGATCACGTTGTCTGTCCCGTTGAAAAGAAGGGGGCGGGGCTAGGTTCTGGTTTAGGAGGAGCATCGCTGACAGGGAAGGGGGGGCACGAGCAGGACAAGGGTTGCCATGGCAACTCTAACCCAACGTAACGTCCGTTGATTTAAAAACCCCACAGGTACTGCTGTCGTCCCGTTGAGGTAACAGAGGCGGTATGTCAGAAAGAAATACTAGTTATTTGTAGTTAAGACAGACAGCTGACTTAGAATAAGTAAGACTCTGTTTTATAGAAAGAAGATGGAGTTTGAGACGACGGAGACTGTACGCTCGACACCAAGCCGCCATGAGAAAAGTTTGGGGCTCCTCACGATGAAGTTTGTCAGTTTGCTACAAGAAGCGAAGGATGGCGTCCTTGATTTGAAAGTGGTCAGTGAAACGGCGACAGCAGCCGGCTCGGTGTTGTTGTTTCCGGGATGTTTTGGGGGGAATTACTCGGTGTTGTGTAGTGCCACCTTGGGAACAAAGAACTGTCAGTCACAAACGGAGCCAGTCAGGTGCATTGATTTGGTTAACAGGTGGACTAGCGAGCCGCCATTACCCCTTCGTTTATGGGTTCAGTAACACACGCTCACAAGCAGTAAACGCTGTAACGTTATCTGTTTGAGGGTATTTGTGGTTGCCAGTTTGTCGTCAGATTGTTAATGGAAATAAACCAGTTTATACTATACCTTAAAGTGAGGCTAGGGGTCCCACAAACGGTATTCTCGGATTATTGATCTCTCCCCTTTGAAACAGACTAGCACCACAAACATAGAGTCCCATCTGAGATCATGTTTATCATAAATGAATGTGTAACTACATATATGATGGAGCTTCTTTAGAAATAACCAAATATATTAAGCCCAATCAGTAAAATACAATTGTTGATGTTGATTTAGACTTATAAAAAGCCCTATTAGTGCCACAGCTTGCATATATCTATGGGTTATTACAAGGGTAGCAAAAACATGATGCATTGTTTTATTTTTTTATTTTTAGGGCCCAGGTTAAACTGTAAACACACAGTAGTAATGATAAAATACTGTAAAACTTCATTTAGTCGCCCGGGCTACTGTTTGCTTAAATCACTGAAATCAACAGGCCTATATTTGGGACAGGCGTCTATATGGGACAGGCTTTATTCCTTTCACACCAAACTGTTGTACAGCAAAGATCAGGAAATACAATCAAACTGTTTATTTCAACTGGTATAATTGTTACTTGTATAAAAAAATCGTCTTTGGATAATATAACAATTATGAATCATTCATCAGATCTAGCTCTGACGGACGATGCATCAGAGAGAGATTTATGGCACTCGATGATTACGGCACCCAGCATACCTACACAACACCACTTTATCCTGTTAAAACAATACTCACAACTTGGATTCATTTTTATGAAAAATCCATTGGATTATTTTGATTTTAGGAAAGTTACACACTAAAGGGGTATGAATAAATTACAGGGTAATCGAGGAATGGACACATAATTTGAAGTAGCCAACATCCAAAGAACTTCTATAAATAAAAAATGAACCGCTTGGCAACTACACCAGGCGTCTAATTGAGACAGGTGTTTATTTGTCATATAAAAGCCAATAAAAGGGATTAGGTGTTTAATTGGGACTAGGATTTTAATCAAAGTTTTACAGCTGTTAACATATGGGGAAAAATACAAAGATTAAGAGGAATGTCTAAAAAAAAAGTAAACCTAGTTTTGTCTCTTTTTCTGTTTTCCCCATTTCCACAGTGATTTTTAGATTAGTCTAAACCTCCTGGAGGCCCAGACCTCCACACTGAGAACCAGTAGTTAAGCACCATCTCCTTTAAAGTCATCATGCCAGTTAGAGCTGCAACAAATAGTAGACTGACAGGAAATTAATCAGGAACTATTCTGATATTTAATTCTTTTGAGTATTTCGTTTGAAGCCAGAATACCAAAACTCTGCTTCTAGCTTCTCCAGTGTAAGAAGTTGCTGCTTTCCTCTATTTTATCATTTTGTAAACTAAATATCCTTATGTGTTGGACAGCTGAAGATGTCTACTTGGACTGTGAGAAACTGGGATGAACACAGCTTTCTGATGTTTTATAGACTTGATAATAGAGAAGAACATAGTCTGTAGTATTTGTAATATATCTGCTCATGTTCCTCTGTACAATTTTGCTTCCTACCATCTTTCAAATATTTTTTCTTATGGCTATCAGTGAACAGTGAATTTTTCAAACCCCTGGCCCTCAAACATCAAGGTTGTCATAAACTTTGTTGTATCATCAGCTGCCCTCAGGGTTTACATTGTAGATGCATCCTTGCCAGACCTATTTGAAGTGTCTTCCACAAATCTACTTCTTTTCATCACACTGATAAGTAGTTTCCCTCCCTTCTTGCGCGCCAAAGCTGGGTAATGTTTACACAGCAGGCTCCTTAGACCCTTTCCCTCCTCCTTCCTTCTCTGCTATTGTATAACTGTCCTCTTCTGCCAAGGGGGTTTTATTTTCTGTTTGTGCAGCTTAATTTGGCCAAATCCTTCATTTGTTGGCTTTGTTCGCGTCTCTTTCTCTTTTTTTCCCCCAGAAATTTTTGTCACAGAAATGTTGTGTCTCCTGTTGAAGCCTGGTAAAAGTGTCTGTGATGTTTTTTCTCAACAAGAGTTCATATTAAGCTGCCACTCAATAAGACCCTTTCTGGAAATGTCTGTCTGAATTAACAGGCTGCAGACAGCTTGGCAGTGAAGCAGAAGAGGAGGATATACGACATCACCAACGTACTGGAAGGAGTGGGGTTGATCGAGAAGAAAAACAAGAACATAATCCAGTGGAGGTTTGCAAAAATTAATTTCATATTTTTGAATCGGTGAAATACTTGTAAGCAGTTGCCTTTAATATCTATGAACTCCTGTCAATGGGAAATATTTTAGAGCACTCCCTGTGCTTTGTACATGAAAAGTAGCATCTTCTTCCCTCACCCTTGGCTCAGTAGCTGGTGAATGCCAACATTTTTTATGCTGTTGGCAGCCAAAGTTAATTTTAAGTTGAAGCTTTTAACCCGAGAAAATGGAGAAAAGCATTACTTGTATAGGACTGGTGCTCATACCTCAGTCTTTCTTCTCTTTCTTCTCTGATCTGTTTTCTTCTTTTAGGGGGGAGAACTCAGGCAGCCAAACTCAGGAGGTGCTGGACCAGGTGAAGGGTTTGAAAGCCCAAATCTCTGAGCTGGAGGCCCAAGAGAAAGAGCTGGACAACCAGAAGGCATGGCTAGAGGAGATCATCAAACACCTTAACCATGACCCCATCACTAGCACATATCCTTTTATGCCTGGCATTAAAGACAGATGGTTTGCTTGTTCTTATTCTAAGGCTGTTCAGTTTTTGTTTGCTGTAATTCAGGTCAGTGGATTTGCATATTCTTTTTTTCACTCTCTAATATTGTGTACACAAACTGTAATTTTGCATGAACAAAGAATGTCAGGCAAATTAAAAGCGGATACATCACCATTTTCTACAAAAAGCAGCTTACTGTTGAACTGACCTTAAGTGTTTAAAACATTTACTACTGGAGCTCCATGTTTGATGTCATTGATCTTGATTTGTATTTGTCTCTTTCTACAGTTTGTAATTCTAGTCCTCATGGGGCCCATTTTATTTATTTCAGAGGAAAGAAATCTCCACTTGATCCTTTTAACATTGTTTGCTTATTGAACAGAGAAAATACTATAAAGGGGGGATTATAAATCTAATTGCTATTGTCAGTCTCCTGTGAAATCACAGACAGGCTAATCCTGACTTGCACAATGCTGACAGTCTTGTTTTTCCAGTTTATTGTCTCCATTTCCCTCCTAGAAGTAATCCTGCTCTTATTTTTCTTAACACCTCTCCACTTATAAATTTGTCACACATGAAGACATCTGCAGTGCCTTCAACGGAGACACTGTTCTTGCTGTCGTGGCTCCTGCTGGTACCCAGCTTGAGGTACCTCTACCTGACATGGTTCGTCTTACAAGCTTTCATTGGTGGTCGGGATACATGGACTTCTGTAATAGTCATCAGGAGGACAAGTTTTCTCTTATAGACATTATACATTTTAGAAAAGCAAGCTAATGGAATAGTAAGTTTCTTGTAGCATGTGAAGTCTAACTGAATATAGACAACAATCTTGCTAGTAAGGCACAGAGTTCTCAGCACACTTGGCTGCTTAGCACGTATCGCCTGGAGCTGAAGTTAAACAGAAACTTTGGTATTATTTAACCTAAAATCTATTTTCCCATGTTTTTGCATCTAAGTGAGTAATGGAGACAACAATTTATGACACTGGCCCAGTATTGAGAGAGACCGTGACAAGACTGCAATGTAATCCCTATGGGCAATTGTGTACCATTAATTTAAGTCCACTAGAAGTGCTTGTTTTTGCCACTGACAGGCTCAGATTGTTATTTTAAGTGTCTGATAACATCATGAACAGGTCCCTCCAGAGAAACGAAATGTTTTTCTGTACCTTCTGTTTGTTATTGTGACTAAGCCTCGCTCAAGGAGAAGGTCTGAAATCTTGCAAGAGGTGACTCATTGCAGTAAAAAAGCAACAGTGGAAATGTTAGTGAGAGATAAAGAGAGGAGTGCCAGGAAAGGTTTGTTGTGTTAGAAAGGGTAGCTTAGTGTTATCTAAGAGATTTTCAGTGTTGTTGCTGAATATTTTGCTGATTTTGGCAATGTGGAAAATATATCAGAGACTTTTCCTTGAGCAAGGCTTAGTTATACACATAGTCAAACGGACCAGATCAGGGAAAGGTAAGGAAAAATATTCAGTTTCTTTGTAGGGTCTTTTCTGTAATGTTGTCAGACTCTTCTAAAAACAACCTGGGCCTGCCAGTGACAAACACGAGCACTTTTACATGAATTGTACAATTGCCTGTAGGGATTATGTTGCAGCTTGTTTTGCTGCAGCAGCTGTCACAATTTCCCTCAGTACAGGTCCAATTTCAAAGAATTTTGTTTCCAATTAGACATAAAAATATGGGAATATCCAGGTTCAAAAGTACAGAAGCCTCCCTTTTAATAACTTGAGTGAGACCAGAGGTGCTGTGCCTTAGCCTCCATTCATTAACAACCTGGTCCGAATGATGACGGTACTCATCTGTGCTGGTATTAATCCTGCCGCCACTTGGGGGCAGCAGAAACAAGTTGTGAACACAACACTGTCCTACTATCACCTTTTCAGTTTATAAGCAGGACTTGTTACGAAAAGTTGCCCATTCAAACATCCAGTAGTTACGAAGTAACATTATCATTCATTTTGACTTGACTTTCTGGCCATCCGTTGAGTTTAAGTCCAGTGTTCACACTCTGTTTTGACCACCTACTGAGGGAAATAAAAGCTGCACTGTGAAAACGAGTGAGAACAGTAGTTGCCTTAATAAAACCAGAAAATGAGCTGAATGATGCCCCATAGAGTAAAGTGTCCTCTTTAGCATTCAAGTAGTCATGTGATCCATTTTGTGTTTAGATTATAGCTGTTGTAATGATGCTAACATTATCTCCATGCTGCTGAGCCGCAGGGCCAGACTGGTCAGAAGAAGTACCAGGTGAATCTACACAGCCACTCGGCTCCCATCCAGGTCCTGCTCATCAACAGGGATCCACACTCCACAATACCTGTGGTCTTCTCTTTGCCACCCACTGATGACATCTGTCCAATGCCAACTCCACCCAGCACCCCCGCCAGCCTACAGAGGTTCCCTCTCTCAACGTCCGTGTACTCCACCTCCAACAGCACCTGCTCGTACTGTAGCCAGGACTCTCTGTGCTCAGACCACCAGATGGTGCTGCCAGAGCATGATGAAGTGCTGACACCATCATCCACCCCTCCTGATGTGCAGATGGGTAAGGACAGGGACTTTGAGAATTTTAATGCTCATTAAGTTCCCCTAGAAAACCACCACATGAAGTTGCTTGTTTTAGACCGTAGTGAACAAAATTTAACAGACGAGAACCTGGCTTTACAATCAGATTTTTATATTTTAAGCAGAGAAACATTCAACACATGCAATAGAGGCTTATTGATAGTAGGTATTAAATGAATAAAGCCAGCCTCAGCTTCAATAGCTTATAAAAATGAATAAAATATTGGTTTAAGGCCACATTACAGTCCACACATTATAACAATAGCAAAAAAAAAACACCCCCATCAAAAACAGTATCACTTACATAGTGAATAAACAGAGAGGTTTAATTTTTCTTTCAAAAATCCTCCATCACAATCTCTCTGAAATAACATCCTCCACCCCATGAGTCAGAGGACATTAAGATTCAGTTCCTCCTAATTGTTTTGTCAGTTACACTTTTGTCTTGTGTCTTATCATAAATAGTGTTGGATGTCACAGTGATGGATGTCTCAGTTAAATGAAAGCAGAAAGACCAGTGTGGTACTGATGATATTGCCCGCTGAAACAAGCCCACTAGACATATAGACTCAGTTGCCTTACCACCCAACCAAAACTAATGCAGCAAAGTAATACAACAGACCCACAAGTGTGTGTCTCGCCCTCGTTCCACAAATGAATGGGAAGCTAGTTTCGATCTGACTGCACCATTTGGACACAGCTAATGAATACTTGGCATCAAAGACATTATTCATTTTAATCTGTCAGGTTGAATTTCAAACTCTTAACGCCATTAGCTGATCTCCTTTTAAGTGTAACTCTACTCTTATCTACTCAGCAGCTTGGAAATATGTGATGATCTCCTTGTTGTTGAAGTGTGTTGCATTCAAAGACGCCCCCATGTCCAAGAAGTGAAAGTAGTGCATTGCCGTTAAGACAAGAATCGTGTGAATTTGGTTGAATATTGCTTAAAAGTTTTGTTATCATCTGACCCAGGAATATCAGATGTCAGCTTGTCCTGACTTGCAAGAGCACGATAAGTTCAAAAAAAGGACTGCTTGCATCTGTAATACCATGTGATCATAATGTAACTGACACTGTGTCAATCATAATGGCTTGCCTTACTCAATCAAGGTTAAAGTTTCAAGAAGTTGATTTTACATTGTACAGTTAAAATAAACCAGAACTAAAGGTTGTCTGCACTGTAAGGAAAAACATCTACAAACTTATGTTAAAAAAATGGTCATTAGTAATACATGGTGCAGCAGATTTGCAGCACTGTAATGCTGCAGCAGAGACATTTTGTATACATATCACACATGACACCCTGCGTTGCCTTGTTTCTGTAGTTTTTGCATTTGCATCTGTCCCCCATCGTATCATGGGAACAAACTAAACACAGAATAAACTTCCAGTGTTGGTTAAAGACAAACCACTTCCTCATCCGGATCCAGGTTTCTAAGTTAAAAGTCTATATATACGAATAAGCAAAAATGATTTCATAGAAATTTGAATAAAAGGCTGAGTCAGGATGATTAAGCACAGATGAAACTGGCCAACATGCAAACTGAGTCACCCAGTCAAAGTGAAACTCAGTCTGACCTTCCTTCCAGGAAAAAAAGAGGAATTACCACGATGGCAACGCCGGATATTTACCGAATTATTTTTACTGTTAGACACCATAATGCTGGGAACTCTGACTAACCAAATATACCGTCAGGGGCCGATTGTAAGATAGAGGGGCCCCTTGGGCATAGATATGCAAAAGGCCCCACCACCTCTCCTGCACAGGAGAAGAAATACAGACTATGTGATGGTTTTGCCTCTTTTTGTATTTTTTTGTCTCTTTGCAGTTCCTTTGCATCTCTTTGTGGTCATTTAAAAAATAATTTGGATATAAAGGGGTTATATTTGGGATTATTTCTTGGCCAGGCACAATTACTTCCTGGAGTCTTTATGCTTAGATCAGCTAACCAGCTGCTGGATGTAGCATAATATTGTTATCAATCATATAGTATCGGTCTTCTCATCTAAAGTAACGAAGCACATTTCTGAAAATGTCATAACTTTTAGCTGAATCCAAATGTGTGACGTCAAGCACACTTGCAGACCCATCTCAGACCCTGAGGGTTGGTTAAATCCACAGTTCAAGTCCACAGGGACTTCTGCAAACAACTTCTGTGAATTATGTCCACAGATGTCCACACAGAAGTCCACAGACTGCAAACTGAGTCAGTTTGGGGTGCAGATTTCACCAGACCGTAACATTACACATATTCCACAAACAATTTTCCAACAAAACTGTACTGCGTAGCTAAGTATTGTTGTTGCACCTCCAATGCTCCCTGCAGAGTGTCACAGTCAGTCCACAGCAGTGTTGGAGCAGCAGCAGATGGACCTAGGGGGCCCAGAGTTCCAGTCTGTACTGGACGTGAGCGGCCTGCTGAAGCTCAACGCTGCTGGAGACCACATGAAGGACGACAGAGAGGGTAAGGCACAGGAATGTGAACCCAGCTACACTGTTGAGTCTGTAATTGCATCCAGCAATGAAGCTCAGGGGCAGTTAGATGTTTGTTTCACATTGGTTTCAGCTATGGTTCTGACATCTGAGCTTGTTTATACTGACAGTTTTGTTTACAAGCTTTAGGATCTGACCTGGTGACAGAAAATGGCTAAATAATTTATAAATGTTTTTGCTATACTACTTTATCCAATTTTAGTGGTTAGAAATTGTTACACAGTCAGTAACAGTGAAATGAAATGGTGTTTTTACTTCTCTTGTAGAAGCTGTCGACCTGATTGATGAGCTGATGTCCACAGATGGTAAGCATCTCAAACCCTGGCTTTACGCACTTTATAAATGTTCAACTTAAAATAAGACCAGCTACACTGCTACAGATCAAATTTGTCGGCAATCCAAAATACAATTTAGGAGACATTTTAGTGTGGACCAAAAAGGTTGATGGACCAGTGTTGCCATTCACAGAGCTGTGCTGCTAGCATGGCAAAAATCTGTAAGCAGTCTTTCTACCTGTCTTTGTCTTGTTCATGTTTTACAGTGTGTGTTTTTCTGTTGATGCTCACACAGGAATAGACTACAGCTTCAACCTGGACGACAATGAGGGAGTGTGTGACCTGTTTGATGTGCAAATCCTCAACTACTGATGACTGACAGCACCTCTGCAGTACTCAGGAGGCACTTTTGCCTCTCTGTAAGGATGCTTTAAAGATGCCTTTTCCCATTTTTGTTATAATTGCACAGTGATACTATACTATACTATTGTTATTTAAAGAAAAAAAACCTTTACACACATTCAGGCTGCCAGACAGCTTCACTTTACCACACTGGCCTTATGCTTTCAGCCAACACAAAACAAAGTAAACTAATTCACCATGAGATATTTATGTAATTTTCTGGGTGAATATCTACGGCGTAGCAGAGAAATGAGAAGCCAGGAGAAATCCTTCAGCCTCCGACTGCACTTTTGCATGTCTGTATCTTTGTAATGTTCCACATCCTGTGGATATCTGGGACTTGACAACTGCTCTATTCGCCGCGTATGAACGGTTGGGACTGTGACAGTGTTTGCCTTCACAGGAACTGGTAATAACACAGTATTGGCTCCTTTCTAATATTACATACAGGGTTGATGGTCTCGTTCAGGGTATGTGAGTAACTTTCTGTTCATGGAAAGTGATTGTATAAAAACCTACCCAGTGCTATAGTTATATTTGATAAATGGCATATTGTATTTAATGAGTGAATGTTTCGGTTATGTTTCTTGACTTTGTTCTCATGTAAAAATGCCAGAAAGATTTCATTTCTAAATTATTGTGTCACTGCCATTTTAGGCCTCTAATTTTTTTAATGTTTTGCATGAAGAGTTATATATTTGAATAACTAATCTCTCTTTTCTCTCTCTCTTTTTTTCCTTTTTTTTAATTTAAGAAAAAATATTCTTGGTTCTAGTTTGTTGAAACTGAAGCTGGTTGAGTGCCTTAATTGTAATTTAAGAAGTGAATTAGCCATATTTGTGATTAAAATATGAGATGTTAAGAGCCATAAGTGGCCTTTTTGTATATTTATAGTTTACTTTCACGGCAAGAAGTCATGTTTTTGTTACATTTTGTTGTTTATTTGCACATTTTTTAAAGTTTTTTCAATAAACGGATTTCATCTTGATTTACAAACTTTGCTTTTCTGATAACTAATGATCATAATTTGATTCAAGAAATTAGTTGAGGAAAACAATTCCAAACTATTTTAACATGAAGTCTCTTAAACTTATCATGTAAGACTTGTGGGAGTGTCAAGGTTGTCTCAAACCATACAGAAGTCTTTGTTAATCACACATTATCTAACTGATCCCCAGGTTGAAACACTTTTTTGATTTTTGGCTGAGTTAAATGTTTTGCACAGTTAACAGATGGCAAACCTCAGTGAAATGGTTTCCAGATGTGCCCGCACATGTGCCAGAGTATGACCTGCAGCATCACTTGATTTGTACCAGCTGGGATACAGGAAGGCAGCTAAGAAAAACATTACAGTGGAAAAGAAACATTTAGAACTTGTGAAATTCCAGTGAGAACTTAGTGGGTTTACATTTAGTCTCAGAGATTAATGTGACAACAAACTGCAGCATGCATTGAGGCAAAATAACAAATTCAAAAATATTTAAACTATGTAGTGCTGTGTTTGTTTTATTCACAATTGGAGAAGATGTTTTATTTGCTGATGAACTTCCCTGTGTCAGTGACCTCTGAACTTTATCCACAAAGTCATGCAATGAATCTGCCTCATTATTTGTCAGTTCCCTGACATCACATACAGAGTTTTTATTGTCCTTGCATTCATATAGCACATTTGTTTAGCATAACTTGATTTGAACCAGCTATAAAATCTTGGAGGAAATTGTGCAACATCTGAAAACCTGCAAGTTTTTTCAAAAATGTTTTCAACTGCATGGTATCAGACCTTCTGCACATAGTGAACGCTTTACGCCCAGGCTGTTTTCCACAGACTCTAAAAACTGCAGCTCTAAGCCACTCTTAAAAAGTTGATATAAAAAACAACTCACTAATGAACAATTTAAGCACAAATGAAACCTACCATTTTTAAGGGAAATCATTGAGAAGGCTGTTTTTCAACACCCACTTGGCACCTAACAAGTTGCTCTGAGGTTTTCCAGGCAGGTTTTCAACTACACCACACACACACACACACAGGCTGCTCTTGTTAAAGGGGAACACCCTTTAAATTTTAATAAATAAATTAGGAATTCCAATGTGTTTTTTCCATGGCCTAGGAAAGTTCCCTCAGTGTTTGGGACCAGGAGCTACTCTCTCTCAAAGCCAGAAACCAGAAGAGGAATTCTCAAACTTGTGATGCCATAGGGTATTTTACATAGAGATAGCGCTACACAGCTTCTATGAAGTCCCTTCTTTAAGCCTCCTTTGCATTTTTACACAGAACAAAATGGCGGTGGCATCATTCAGCTCCAGTGTGTGATTATACACTGCATTGCAGCTTTGCAGAATCAAACGAGGTGTGACAGCATGACGTAACACATCAGCATTGGCCTCTAGTGTGACATATATTCGTCAGTACCACTGGCAACATTGGCATCAACCTGTCAGTAACAATCATTTACTGTACTTATGTTTTCTTTTTGATTCTGATGAAGACGCAGTTGGCGTCGAAACGTTAGTCATTAATAAATTCATCACAAGTGATCTGAGTGCTCCAGTGCTTTTCTTGTGGATTCCTCCACGGGGTTATTTTGATCTATATGGTTCTGTTCTGAGAAGCACCGACCTCCAATTGCGGAAGGGCTGAAGCGCGAGAGATTCCCTCTACCCAACAATCATTTACTGTCTTTGTGATATGGTAGCTGGTCCCGACCTCTGGTCAGAGCCCAAGGAGCTCCTAGACATTGTTTTCCAAATTTGCAGACATTTGTGGCCACTGTTCTTCTTCATTGGGTTAGCCGCTAACTGCTAACCGCTACTTTTTAAATCTCCCACGGTGGGTCTCACACATAACATGTCATTAAAACATCACACCTGTTCCACCCGTGGTCCTGTACCATGGACTGTCCTGTTCTGTTCCCAAATGAACTTCATGTCCTTGTAGTGTTCTCAGTCTGAAGCAGAAAATGTGCCATTATCCTCAGAACATTCCCCTGGGTCATTGAGAACATCTTTCCCATTTTATTGTCCATGGAGCAGCTCCAGATTTTTTATCCTATTACATCGCAAATTTGAGCTTCAGTACTCTAGTTTTTGGATTTGGGAGAGAGTTGTTCATGTTCACTAATATTTTTTGACTGTCTTAAACCATAGAAATATCATATAGTGCGTAGCTCCCCTTTAAGGTCTTGATTGACTACTGTTTAATAGATACTAGTAGTACTATACTATTCCCACATTAAAGACTGGAAACTTGATTGGACTTTGCAGCACAGTACTAATCTGGTCTCAATCCTATTTGAAGAACAGGGACTGCTTTGTATTTATTATTTTATTTATCACACATCTGAGTATCCAAAAATTACGTGGACTCCCCCAGGGCTCTCGTTCTGGGGCCTCTTCTGTTCTACATCTGCATTCTTCCACCTGCTCAGATTGTGGAAAACGAAAAGTATTTTACAACAGTTATGCAAACCACAATCAGATTTATAAAATATCACTTGGTGACTATGATCTCGCACAAGCACTGAGTAGGTATAACTGGATGTGCCAGAAATCTAGATTTCTTTTTTTAAATATCTTTTAAAAAATGTCTTTCTGTCTTATTTAAAGCACTCTGAATTGCCTTGTTGTTGAAAGGTGCTACACAAATACTGTAAACTTGCCTTTTGTACAAGGGGATGTTGCAATATGTTTGCAAAGGTCAAGCAAAAATAACGCTGACTTGTGTTTATCTAAATAGGAGTGTGCTAATACTGGACTTTTCAAAAGTGAATGACTAAATATTTGAATGTGCGCAACAACTCCTCTCTCTGCTTCTCTGAGTGATCTCACTGGGCTAACTCAGTCTTAGAGAAAAACATCCCAATTAAAAAATAAGATTTGCAACTATCAAGAGAGTGATGCTCATCACCTCGTAAAAAGGTTACTAGAAGTTGTTTTCCAGCGTGTTGTGCACACTCGGCTGCAGAGATAAACTGTGACGTCCATGTGCAGTAAATGCGCCTCAGATGTTCCAGGGTACTCAGGAAACTATTAAAGCCGAGGTTTTCCACATAAAAGGGAGTTAAATCCCACTGGATGTAGATTTGGCACAAGACTGCAAGTAACACCACCAGAGTAAACAAAGTGAAATGTGGTATCTTTTAATATTCAGGAATTTGAAGTCAACGTGAGGTGAGAAATAAAACACATGACTAAAAGGTACACAGGTCAAGTGGAGCAATATTAGAGATAGAAAATCATGCTTCTTTGCTTCATATCTGAGGTGCAGGCATGTGTAGTGCATCTAGTTTACAGGCTGTGCAGATGTGTAACATCAACTTAATCAGGAATATTTTTTTAAGGTGATTGCAAAAAATAAACAAGCATTATTTCAAACAAGTTGCAATTACAAAGTTTTAGAAAAAGTTCCAGCCCATTTAGTTTATAAAATTGACCTCATTATTCTTCTTGTCTTCACTTGCTGTATAGTGTAATGAAAAGTATCAAGTTCAAGTATTTATCTTATTTATGCTTTGTGGGCAGCTTGAAAAGTGTTAAATGCCCCATGTGAAATACTGGAGGAATGTCTGTCACCTCATAGATTATGATTCTGTTAAACTTGTGGAACAAGAGTAAATCAGAGTTTAAAGAGTTCATTGTCATGCTAACTATAATAAATACTGTTGAAAAGAAATATTGTTTTCACAGCACATTCTCACTCCCAACTCATCAAATACTGCCACTTGGTCAGTGGCCCTAAATGTCAAAATGTGACGCTTCAGGTGCCCCTCTAGCGTCAGTTTTGAAGGTTGTGGGACAACGTGTCAATTTAAACTTGTAACATGCATTGTGTCCTTTCAGAATAAACTTGCATTTTCATAGCAGTTTGAGCTTGTTACGTGCAGAACGTAGGTAAAAAACTTTGTTATTAAGTTTACTTTGGTACTGAGGTTTAGGCAACAATAGCACATATTGGCATAAAATAAGTATGTTTTTTACTTACATAATCCATGTTGGGAAGGTTGCTCTTGAAATCTTATAGGGTACAGATTACTTGTTACCCTGTTATGAATGTCATAAGAAATGTAACTATATTTCTTTATTAGTAATGTGATTTATTAAATTTGATTACTTATTGATTACTTTTGAAACAGTTATTTTAAACTTGGCAATAAAACTGAAAAATGTCTGGATACCGACTGTGCAAAGAAAAAGACATTCCCACATGGCGAAAATGTGCAAAGCAACAGAATGACTGTTATTTTTACATATAAGCTTGTTATAGCAAATGTATTTGGATATAACACTGTTGTAATCATCAACATTTTAATTGGTAACTGTAATTTACTCACATATTTTGTCTCAATAACTGTAACTAATCACAAATATATTTATTTTGTAATATAATTACATGTAACTACTCACTGCCCAACACTGAATGTAATGCAAATGCAGCGCCATGTGACATACGTCACTAGCACAGTATGCTACACATTCTAGCATGCTAGGTTGTCCTTAAAACAGACCCTTCAGGATTTCACAGGCACAATGTGATCTCATCCTTACTCTTCATGTTTTGCCACTTGGGCAGAAGCCTCGCAGCAGTGGTTGACATCCAACACAAGCTGTTAATCTCACACTGACACCTCAACAGCTTGACTTTGTTGTTAACCATAATGACATCACATAACCACTGGGTAGCGTTAGCTGTGTGATGCTAACAGTTAGCCCTGTCACTGTGTGTGTGTGTGACTCTCAGCTTGTGTCCCACAGCAGTAGTCTCGTCATAAACAGAGAGAGAGGGGGGGGGGAGCGAATTTAAACCCTGCTTGCAGCTCTACAGTGAAATAATATTCTACTTGTTGCCAATGGTAAAGTTTGCAATAAAGTTGGACTGGCCTAATTTATGGTGTCACACCGGAGACGGACACCGGAGTTCTGGGTGAAAGTCCAGAATTTGTTTGACCTGGCCACCTATGTGTACTTTCTTGCATTTTTATACTACTATGATGCCACCGTCCAGTGTGTCTCATACAACTGCTAAGGGTGCCTTGGTGCATCACTATCTGACGCCAAGGGCCAGTGACCAAGCCTCAGTATTTGATGAGTTGGAGTGAGACCAGGTTTCCATTGGACCAGGGTATAGAATCTGACAAAACATCACTCCAAACACAAAACCAAGTCCTTTTTTCATTCATAAAAAACACCAAAAACAATGTAATATTCTTTGGTCTTAATAAGTAAACAAAATACTTTGCTAAAAGCCATTTTAACAAACTAGAGGAGGAAAATACAGCTGACAACCTCCTGTTTTTAATGTGGAGAGAATTACATGTTAAAATTTCAGTGGAATATTTGTACATCTTAATGATTGTCAAGCATGCTTCTACTGCTGCTGTATCTGTTCTACTATAATAAAAATGATTCATATAGATGTCTTTTAGCATGACACTCCTGTGCTCAATCATATTGAGAATGTGTTTGTCTCTTGTGATGCACTGTGGGAGTTAAATGACATTTCCATCTCTTCCTCCTCTGCAGGATTTTCCCTCCTCTTCCTCCTCTTCCTTCTCTTCTCGCCAAACTTCTTGGCCACTTTCATCATGTGCTGCCTGAAGGACGAGCCCATGAAGGCATAAAGGATGGGGTTGAGGCAACAGTGAGTGAGGGCCAAGCTCTCTGTCACCTGAGTGGCATGATCCAATACTTTGCTTGTCCCACAGTGGGTCACTAAGGCATAGACTGAGTCCATCGCTCGGTAGACCTTCAACACGTTATAAGGCAGCTGAGTGACCACAAACACACCCACTACTATTAGAAGGACACGTAGAGCTTTCCACTTCTTGCCTCTGCTCTCCACAGGGAGGGCCTTTAGTGCCTGGCCCATGTTACAGTAGCAGATCACCATCACCAGGAGAGGAAGCAGGAACCCCAGCAGCACATCTGCTATCTCCAGAGCAGCTTTACCTCCTCCAGCCATCGATGGAGGGTAGACAGCCAGACAGACGTTCCTATTAGATGTCCATCTCACCTCTGAGAGTATCAAATCAGGGAGACCAAGGATGAAAGCTGTCACCCAAACAACTAAACACACCTTCCAGCAGTGTCTCCTGCTGAATATCCTCTGCAGCCGCCCTCTTTGGTCTTCACCTCGCACCCTGGCTAACGCCAGGTAACGGTCCAGGCTGATGCAGGCCAGCAGCAACATGCAGCAAGTGAAGTTGACCGTGTAGCAAGCTGACACCATCTTACAGACGACCATCCCCAGCTCCCAGCCCCTCGCCGCATCAGCAGCCCAGAAGGGTAGCGTGAAGAGCAGGAGCAGGTCAGCCACAGCCAGGTGAGTCAGGAAGGTGTCCGTCATGGTCTTGAGGCGTTTGTGGTAAGCATAGACCGCCACGACTAAACCGTTTCCTGCCAGTCCCACCACCAGACACAGAGTATATATGATAGGGAGGAAGAGGGCTGCGAAGGAACGGACGTCACCCTTCTCACAGAGGGCAGGGTAGTCGTCGTAGCTGAAGTTGAAGCTGATGTTTTCGTGGAAGTAGTAGTAGTCCTCCTCTGAGACATCCATGATGATCAGACGAAGCTGTGAGGGAGGACATTTTAAAATTTTAAACATTCACAGATATACTTGTGCAACAGTGTGCATACACAGAGCAAAATCACTAAGTACATGCGCTCAACTACTCCACCTAAAGTCACAGTGAACTGGCAGATAATTCCTTAGCTTCTGTTACGTTACAATTCAGACATGTCTGTAATAACAGCAGGACAGGACCAAAGGCTGTAAAATTTTTTAGACAGCAGAGATTACAAATAAATGAGATGGAAAAATGATGAAGAATGTGTCTCCATCATAGACTGCATAAAAGAAGTGGAAGTTGCCACCTTGACGTCACCCAGTGGTTCGTTGACTACCATTGTGAAACCTTAAATTTGCCATTTTGGTCATTGCTGTCTTATTTTTTTTGCAGCCAGAAGTGACCATATATGGATGAGAGGGTGGAGCTGTGGAGGAGTGAGGGGTGGATCTGACTGAGAGAGTGCTGCAGTGGTAGCCACTTGTCGATCACAAGGTAAGCACGCCCTTAAGCATACCCTGCTTTATCATCTATTTAACTCTAAATTGGACCATAATTCAAAAAATGAACATCATACTGTGCTGAAGAAGACTTGAATCTAGTGATTGAGACCATGAACTCATTACGAAAACATTTACTGAGGTAATAAATCAAATGAGAAGTAGGGTCATTTTCTCATGTACTTGTATACAATTGGATGCCCCTGTTGTTCATTAGAAGGGATGCAGATTTAAAGCATTTCCACATTAGCTTTGCTTCTCAGACCCGAAGATTAACCCTTCACCACATATCACATTTGATTGGATAAAGAAGAGTCATCAAAAATATTTGTGTTTTACAAGAACAGTAAAGGGGAATTTTGATATGAAAATACTCAAAGAAAATTATGTTTTTGACACATACCACCTGTAATAACAGATACATGAACAATTAAGATGAGAACCAGGGAATTTGAAAATATATTTTTCATCTCACTGTGTCTTCAAACATTAAAAATTCTGCTTGAGCAACAAAATCAAAAAGAAAAACAGATTTGAAACTGCCAGAAATGTCACAAGTTACTGCAGTGCCAGTGTCTGGATTTAATGTAAGGAATAAGCTGTCTTTGTCTTACAGCTGAAACAGAAAAACTACAATTGGCAACAAAACTGGAAAACACTGTATGTGGAGACATGAAATCCTCTAGTTTGGGAAGAAAGATCTAAAGACACCAAAGTCTGCAAATAATTTTGTGACTGTAGGCTAATCATTGTGCTATGATAATATCATTGTTGACATCTGGACATGATGTCCTGACCCGAACTCTTCCTCCCTGTTGTAGCGTCACTGAAATAAGTAATGTGAGTTCATTCTGCCTCGCTGCAGAGTGATAAGAGCAGAGAGTTTCTACAGAGTGCAGATAGTATAAACTATCACATTCTCCTGGAGATCCCCAGCCTGAGACCAAGAGTTCTGTTAGGCTACATTTACTCAAGTGCTGTACTTAAAGGGTATCTTCGGTATTTTTCAACCTGGACCCTGTTTTTATATTTTTTCTGTATCTACCTAACTAATATTTTTTAAATGATCTGAAAATAATTCAGTATTGAGCAAGACCATTGCAGCTGGTAGTAGCGAAACAGACAGCAATGTAACTACTGTGTAACATCAGAAAGTTTGCTGATCCAGCAGGGAGTCGGGGCAGCTGGAAGACACAGAATGCACATAGAAGCAACCTGAATCCAGCCAGTGCAAATTCCAGCTCTATGGGACCAGACAGCCCCAACCCCCTGCCGGATCAGCAAACTTTCTGTTGTTGCCGTTACACGTTAGACCACGCCTGCAGCTGGCCACCAGCCCACCAGCCCACTGTGACATGCAGCACTCGGGGCTTGCACTGGCCGAATTCAAGCTGCTACAGCCACTGACTGGGGGTCAGTCTGCGCAGCTGCTGCCTGCTCTCCTCCTGGTGAGGTGGTCTGTAGCGGTGGGGAGTGAGGCGGAGGACACACTGTGATTTAAGGCTTAAGCTTACATTAGCTACATGAACATGAGCTTAAAGATGCAGCCATGAGCCTTTTCACTTACCAGAAGGCTCAACTACTGGCAACACTTTCTCTCCATCTCTGAAAGGCTTCCCCCAGTACTGCCAGTTTTTGTTTCATTTATTGCCAGGTTCTCTGTTTAAAAAGTCCATCTTCCTTTTTTGGGCTGCTTTGCATTTCAAGCAGTTTCTGCCAATGCTGGAATAGCATCTTTTTCTGCAGGGTTCTCTAACATTAAATCTGGCTTTCACCAATGGGACATGCATGTACCTGTGCATTTGAAGAACAGCCAATAACAACGCCCTTTTTCTGAACTGACCTTTGATCGGCCAAAGTCTCCCGTCACAGCCTAGATTTTCTAAAACATGAAAACAGAGCCAAGAGGAGGGGCAGAAGTGTAGTTTTCTTTCAGTCCACTTGAGTTACAACATGCTCGCAGTTTGAGATTTTTTGCCCAATGGTGCCAAAATGAAACTGCCTACCCCAGCTTTAATAGGCTGACGACATCCCAGTCAGGAGAAGAATTTTAGTGGAGTGAGCATGAAATGTAAATACTCAAGTTAGGCACAAGTGATTAAAAAATGGACCACAAAAAGGACTACAGTGCATGAGTAAATGATATATAGCCAGTTAAATGTTACAGAAAGTACACAGCAGTAAGGAATTAAATCAGTTCCACCAGCTGCAACATAACATGCTGCTCACAAGTTCATGCCTCAGCAATAATAACCCATTAATATAAAAGCTAATTCTAATATAAGACACAGAATGATAAACTAAAGAGACACTTCAGCTGTTTATGTAATATTAGTGTAATCTGCTGTGATGACACACATCCAACTGATCAAGAATACAAATTGAGGCTACCTTACAGGTTAAAGATAATGCAAGCAGGTAGGCAGTGCTGGATGGATACTCACAGCGCCTGTTCATCTATCTGTCCCGTCTGTTTGCACCATGTGAGCTCAAAGCTTTGTTAGACTTCAGACTGAGGGCTCTGTGTGGAGGGGAGGGTTCATTTGATTTTACACACAAGTGGGTGGAAAGTCACAAAAAAAAAAAACAGCCTCGTGGGAGTCCAGTGATCGACGTAGAGTTAAACTAGGCAAGCCCATTTACTGTGGGAAAGTTGCCCCAGTGGATCTGCCTGTAATGATAAAAGATCATTTCCCTCTGGATATTAGCATGTAAAGTCCAACTGTGGCTCTGCAGGTATGATAAAGAGACACACACAAAGAAATGCTGTGGTGAATGTACACTCGGATACTATTGAAGCAGGAACTTTACATGATAGGTTATTTCTATTGCTGCTCTACAACCTCTAGTGGTTCCTCTGAGGTACTGCAGGGTGGCTGCCAAGTTAGTGTTTGATAGTATTTTTTAAGTTGATTTTTTTTTTCTTTTCAAACATTAAAATACACTGAACACGAATTCAATATATTTTGCCTTCTGCAACAAGGTACCTCTGTGAAAGTGGAGTTTCCTCCTCACTTAACTGAAAGTCAGACCATTCTCATTCCCAACTTGTCAAATACCAACGCTTAGTCAGTGATCTCAGCATCAGATACCAACGCTCAGAGGCAGTTTCTAACCAACAATTGTAGTATTAGGAGTGAGGAAGTCCCTGTCTGGAAGTTCCTATGTGGAACTTCCTCATGACGTAAGTATAACCATACTTATTTTAAGCCAAGCCGTGATGTTGACCCTAACCACAGACTGTTGTTGCCTACATACACACATATGCCTACCTCTAAGGAAATAACCTCAAAACAAGGTGTTTTAACTATGTAGTAAGTTTATTTTAAAAAAGAGTGTACGCATGTAGTGAGCAGAAAGTGTACATTTCCTGTGAAAATGGAAATGTATTTTGAAAAGACACAATACATGTGACAAGCGTCAATTCAGAAGCCATCCAAGAACGTCAAAAACTGACGAAGGAGGCTACCTATAGCATGTCATATTTTGACATTTAGGTTCACTGACCAAGTTATGGTATTTGACTAGTTTGGATGACAACAGATTGCAAGCAAAGTTACCTCAGAGATTCAGATTAATAATACGTCATTTAATCAACAAATATATCACAATGTAATACTACAGATTAAGGTGCGATTAGATTTTTAAAAAAGGGAGGGGCCTACTTTTTACTTGAGTAAAATGTTGTAGTGCAACACTTGAAACAGAGTATTTCTACACCATGGTATTGCTACTTTTATTTAAGTAAAATATTTGAATGTTTCTTTTACCACTGGCAAAATACTGTTTATTTGTTTTAGATATGCACTTACCCTAAAATCATATTAGGTTTTCGCTATAGATACCTGACCTAAAGTTATGGCTTTGTGAATGGTAATAACTGACGGTGACTCAGTTATGTATGTCAACATCCTCTGAGCTCTTTTCTTATGTGGTGGCAGGACAGTTACTAAACAATGTTCAGACAGACTTTAGTAAGAAAAGCAACCCGAAAATGGCAAAATGTGATTTTGAAAAGTTTGAAATGATGCCCTCAAGTACACGTTTACACTCTAAGAAGCAGTGAGCAACAAAAATGAGTTATTAAAGATGTTTTTTTCCAACAGAAAATACCAGTTAGTTGTATTTTGAGCAACAGCTACAGAATATCAGATATAAACCACAGTGTAAAACCCACCCTGACAGTGAAGACTTTGGTTAAGTAGCATTTTCTCTCATTATTTACTTACATTTAAATGTGATGGGAATAAAAGATTGGCAAAAGTCCCCAAAATCTGATTCAATCAGATATAAAATCACAAATTACTTGTAAATGTCACCATCCTGCAGGATTATAGTCGCTGTAGGATATGACCTCATGTAGTTAATGTGAATCAGTTAAGAAACCAGTCTTACCGTTTGTCACTGCCAGCGAGCCGGGAATGAGTCCAGTTTCAAATCCAGCCGAGTCTTGTAGCTCCGCACTGGAAACACACTTCTGAGAAAGATGACTCAGAGAGAGAGGCAGAGAAGTCAAGTGACACAGTAACAAGCCACAACCTAATTATTTGTCTGGGCTGTTTATTGAGGAAACCATTTCTGGTGTTTGAACATGACAGAACGTGTTTACACTGAGACTAAAGCAAAAAATGTTAACAGCATTTCAACACCAGAGGAACGACACAAACAATCAGTCATTGATCCACACATACTGTAAAAGTATGCGACTTGGGCAAAATGTGCAAAACCAAGAAATCCTTCCTTCTCTTGTTCTGTTTTCTTAGTATATGAGCTGCTCGGCTCAGCAACAGAAACCATAAACACTGGATTTGTCTTTTCAGGATGAAATTCCTTTGGTTCCCAGTTGGCCACAAAATATTTATATTTTATAAAATCAAATACATATGTAAGTACTGTAGAGAACAGTCACGGGATGCATTGCTTTGAAGTAGTTTGCATTAGCATGTGTATTTTTCTTGTACATGTCAAGTGATCATAGTCACTAGTTTGAATTCAGACCAGCTGGTGAAATGTCAGGTTTAGATTATTATTTTGTTTATCATCAGTGAAGATAACATAAATGTGATTACAGGTTCTTCTGCAGGTGTTGGGTGGTTTACACTGACCAGTTGTCAGAAAAAATATTGGCAGAGTACCTTTATAAAAACCAGGTGGAGGGGATGGTGGATGGTGTGACACATCAAACCCTGCCAAGCTCAGACTGCTGTTCAAAACCAGAAAAACAGGTTGTGATTTATAGAGTCATTGCTGTGTTTCCATCTGCTTTTTAGGCTCCAAATGTGGGATGTTTTGTAGCAACCTGTCAGAGGGATAGTGGTACAAAATGCGGTTGTTTTTTTACGTAGACATCGCTGCTTTTCTAGCTTAGACCCTCAAAACTGGGTATTTTAACATGCCAAAAAATGATCTTTTCGTAACCATAACCAAGTGTTTTTGTGCTTAAACATAACCAGACCTTAATGACAGTCTTGTTGAAACACAAAGAAACATACATTTTCAACACATCTGCTACATGATATCCTGCAGATGTCTTTGGTTAGCATAAACATACAATGCCAACAACATTTTTTCTGGCAACTAGGTTGTAGGTTTACACCCTGTTCTTACATACAGCAGACGCCATAAAAGAAAGCTCAGTGTTTTATATATTTAGGGTTTCAGCTACATGCTGGAGGCCCCGGCCTCTCAGGAGGCACTGAGAAGTTCATATAGGAGTCTTGTGAAATAGGCATCTCTACAGTATAAATTTGGTGATCCAGGGACTCGCTCTCATCAAGCTAACAGCTAACACACAGCTGGCAATATGCTCAGTCACAACCATGTCACTCAACAATAGTTGTGTCCAAAATTACTCAATTTTTCACTCATTCACTCTCTAGAGTGACTGTTTCAAACATGACAACATGAATGTTCTGAATGAGCCCTTTTGTATTTTCTGCTGAAAAGTGTTGCAGTGTATGTGAATAACATCAGCTGACAGGAAACACACATTTGAGGTGAAAGTGTTTGTTGGATCTGTTCACCACCCCTCCCACTCACCCCACTTGGACTTTAATCGCCTTAACTTTCATCTTTGCCGTTAAACAATAACAACAATCAACCACGTATCATGTTCACGTTAAAGGACACCTTTTTTTATTATTTTCTGACACCAAAAGTCACTGCCCAAGCACCAGATTTCAACGACTTGTGAGACCGGGCTCTATTGTGAAAGTGTTGAGTGCCCTGTATGTGAATACATTTGTATGGTCATTATTGACATACCCAAAAAAAAAAGGCAGAATCATTTTTAAAGAATGCTCAGTAAATATATAGCACTGCGTATAGTAGACTACACTGTATGTTGAAAAGGCAATGTTTCTGTACAGTTAGCAAAATGTTTCACAAACAAGTTCACACATTTTATTTGAAAATAACCATATGCCCCTTTTATTGGAAAATAAAGTAAAATGTGATGGTGCTACTCTACAGAAGCGTATTGCATTCATTTGACAAATAAAAAAAGCCCTGTTTTTCTAAGTAATTTTTTCTGTTTTTTGGAGTAATTTATTTATTTTTCTGTTTTTTGGTGTAATTTTTTCTGTTTTGCAGGGGTCACTTGCAGGTGCCAGGCGGGAGCTTCTCACGAGATTTTGAAGTATCTTGTCTTCTCGTTCAGGAAAAAAAATTACCACGAAAAACAGAAAAAAATTACAAAACAAAAAGAAAAAAAAAACTGAAAAAAATTACCCCGAAAAACAGGGAAATAATGACTCAGAAAAAAACAGAAAATATTACCCCGAAAAACAGGGAAAAAATGACTCAGAAAACAACAGAAAATATTACTCAGAAAAATAGGGAAAAAATTACGCAGAAAAAATTACACCAAAAAACAGAAAAATAAATAAATTACTCCAAAAGACAGAAAAAATTACTCAGAAAAACAGGGCTTTTTTTATTTGTCAAGTGAATGCAATACACTTCCGTACTACACAGCTAAAAGGCTAAAAGAAGTTGGACTTTGGTTCATTTAAAGGTCACAAAATGTTCAGTAAAAACAGCTTTCGATAACCAGTGGAAATTTCCTTGTCAGAATTCACTGAATTCCAACTTAAGGCAAAAAAAATGCGTATTTATGTCTCCCCTGTGAGTGAATCCACCAGTGACAGTGATTCTACTGAAATTAATTGATTTCTCTGTTTTGATTGCTGTTGTGACATTCGTAGCAATATGCTAAGATATCTAGCCCCAGCTTTAAATATGTAGTAACTTGATAGAACACTTTTAGTAATATACAGCATGTTAATTTAACACTACATTTAGAAACAGTAGATACTCTTACGACACAACCTCAGATAGAAAGATGCATGGACCTTTCATTTACAATACAAACTGCTTTTTTATTTCATTGTGTAAAAACACTGCTGTGAAGCACGGTACAGAAAGTGAAAAGAGGTCAGCCCAGTGACAAAGTCCATCAGTTTTAACCAGTTATAATTTTTCATATTACAGGTTAACCTGACCCTTTAACATGTACTATTGG